AGACAGATGAAGAAAGGTCTCCCGATATATGGTATCCCAACCTCGAATGCTATTTTCTGGATTACTTTTTAAAAGGTGATGACATATTCCATATTATTCAAAGCGCATCTCGCTCATTCACATAGATCGATCGAATTTGTTTTTTCTCAAGATTGAAGAAACTAACATAGACAAGCGGCGATTTCCACAGCTTTTCTATCCCAATAGAAATTGAGCAGGAAAGATGCGGGATGTCAACAGTGGTGGATCGAGAGTTTCATATAGGCGAAGAGAGCCTTAGCGGGAATGAGCGCAGGGGACGCCTATCTGATGTTGACCACGAATAGTTGAGAGCAGCACTTCGATAGAGTCCTCCTACAACGTTCAAGGACATTGCTTCTTGATTGAACATTCCAAGAAGGAAGGTTTGCACCCACATGCAAGTGATCGGAAAGTCGAAGAGCTTGAAAAGTGGCCCACGAGTTCGGATGGGACCGAAGGATTGTCATTTGGAGATATCCTCCACCCTGTTCTTGAACAACAGAGACGATCCATTTCCAGCTCCTATTGTGATGGGTGATGATAAAACGTATGTACGGTAACGATCTGGTCTGTGGATGAACAAAAAGCAAGCTCCACAATGTTTCCTCAAGTCGAAGCAGCACGGAGTAAAGGTCTGAAGGTAAATTGGTGGCCTGAAACTTGTTTAATCCACCATAGCTTCATGGGCCCGGAAGAACCTCATAGGTGAAAACTGGTGACGAGGGATTGACGAAATGCGTCGTAAACTTCAGCTCAGCATTCCGGCACTGGTCAGCAGGAAGGAGCCGATTCTACTCCACGACAACGCTCGGCCCCACGTCGCGCAACCCTCCCCCAAAAGGAAGAGCTAGGCTACAAAACTCTCCCGCAACCAGCATTCATCAGATCTACCCCACCGAATACCGTTTTCAGACATTTCAACAGCTTTTTCAAGGCAATATGTCGACAGCTTCCCCAAGAAGAAATGCTTCAAAAACCATCAAAAATGTTGCAACCGCCAGTCACCAATTTCATGACCTCTAAATCTCCAATTTTCTATGGAAACCTGGGCCGTGGAAGAGAGCTGATCGTAATGACTGATTTTTTTGTTTAGTTAACTTTTATTCAAGCCCAGATGTGAACATTTGAAATTTGAGATCGAAAATCGCAAGAACTTCCTCTATGACCTAAAATAGATTCGGGGTTGGGAAACGTACTTTGACTGCTCTATAAGGTGATAAAAAGGAAATCAACAGAAGGAATTGGATCTCCTACCAGCAGTTGACAACTGCACAGGGTCCAAGAGGCGTGTTCAATGAACTATGTTTGGTTCGCTGGAGATAGGTATACTCCAGTACTAGCTTTTCTCAAATATTGGAGTCCTAGTGTAGTTTACAATTGTACTGATTAGTTTGTGCTGTTAGGTCTTCGTGAACCCAAAAAGGAAAAGAAAAAGGACGAGAGCGTATTCGATGAGGCCGACTTCGCTGTCGTTGGAAAGAAAAAGAAGAAGTTCGAAAAGACCCCTATTGAGTATTTGTAAGTAATGGTTCCGTGATTGTTTTGTTGTCTGTTAACTGATGTAAGATAGTTTATTGGTTGTCCGTGTATTGTTTTCCATCGTTAGTCGATCAGTAAAAAAATGGGTAGAAGTTGCCAAATGCTCGGATTTTTTGCATTAAAGACAGCGCCCGCGATCGACTTTGGCAGGTCTTAGGGGTCAGATTTGTTAGAACAGGTGGCAAGTGAAGCATTAATCAAAAAAGTAGGAAAAAGGCTGCAAGAACATGGAATAAGACCCTATTCGATTTAAGGCATCTGGACGAGTTTCGCAGATTTTGGGTGAGTTCTCCAAAACACGTCGCCGCCTCGTTGCGGCTAATTCTCATGAGGCCACTACCTAGGTTATCTTATCTACTAATCCACGCTGGCATTGATAATCTCTGTCTATGAGTTAATCTCCCTATCAGTGTACGAAACGAACGCTAGGAAATTTAGCGACTATCAAAGCCAGCAAGGATTGATAACTGTTAACCAGTCGAGGCGGGATTAGGCGGGGTCAGTTTGTCATTG